GTTACGGCATTTCGACATTACGCCATTCAGGCCCCTAAATTATTAATGCCCCTCTGTGTCTGAGTGCTAATTTGAAGCCAGAAGCCTTTGCTGCCGGTTTTCGGTTTAACCCGCCGTCATTGCAAAGCCAAAGTCAAGCAACTGGAGCTACGTCATCCACCTTTAGCGATACTCTAGATATAAACTATATGTTTTTTTTTATATTTTATTATTTATTTTTTTATTTCAATACTTTTGTTTCGTCAATAAAAGTCGACATACCAAAAACTATTAAAGGAGGACTGTTAGTTAAGAACTTATAGGTTAATAACTTATAATAACATATCTTCATTTATGGTTTTCGACCAACTTTTACTCAACAGATAGTTGATAAATTCTGTGGCGCTTAAATTTTTCATTTTGGACCATAGTGTTTTTAATTGAAATACCTATATTTCGTCCATATAACTCGACATACCAAAAAGAATTTAGGGAGGATCAATACTTAAGATGTTATTGGCCAATAACTTATGATAACATATCTTTTTTAATTGAAATACTTATATTTCAACAAAATCAAACGACATACTTAAAAGTATTTGGGTAGGACCAATTTTTAAGATGTTATTAGTGAATAACCTATAATAACGTATATTCATTAATAATTTCCAACAATTCTTTCTAATCTTTAACGGTTCAAAACTTTCCCATTAAAAAAGAAAATATCCTTGAAAAATCAACAGGCTTTCAAACTATTTAGACAATTTAAATGTAATATCAGCGCACAAGGGCCTGATTTGCTAGGGTATTCAAGGCTTCGTTCTCTCGAATTAGCAAATTGACCCAAAGACTTGACTGGACTGACTTAATTTTCGGACAATCAAATTAGATTTTCGGGCAACCGTTCGTCCTCCTCGATTTGTGGCGCCCAACGTTGCACTTTATTGCACACGGGAGGCTCCAGTAACGAGTGCTGATACAATTACACCGACATGCGAGGAACTAACACCCGGGCTTCATACAAAATGAAGACATGCCCATTTATGCACATTAATGTGTTGTGTATGTAACACATAAATTGCACGTTGGGGACGAGCCCCTCTAATATGGACGTGTGCAGTGCATATACATATCGTTCATCTGACAGCCAGAATTAATTCAATAAAATCCGTAACATTTTATGAGCCATTAATTAAGGTATTAAACGAAACAAGACACGGTTGTTGTTGCTTTGCTGTAGTTAGTGGTAAGTGGTTTCCAAATTAATTGATTGGAAACTATTGTTGAAATTTTAATGCAGCACAATTGGGCAATTGAGCTTTTCGCACCCTAATTGCTAATAGATAACCAAAAAGCTTGGGACTTGGATTATAAAAAAAGTTGTTTAATTTAGCATTAAATGGGATTTAGTTTTACTTAATTAACCAAATTGTACTGAAATAATTTTAATAAAATACATCTGCGACAGACTTCTTACCGAAAAATAACTGAGAAAAATAAATCTTTTGCGTAATTGCTTTTTTAATAACCATATGAGAGCAAACCAGAATTTTTGATAAATTCTCCACTCTTTTTAAACAAAGATTTTAATGATAACTCATTTAATTAGTTCAATTTTGTTTACACTTTAAAACGAGCTCCCAGAAACAGCAAAATTTAAAGGCAGCCAGAATATTTTTTAGAAAGCAATTATTATAAGTAAATGATTTCTTTTAGAAATATATATATATTTTTTTTTTTTTTTTTTACATGTGTTCATTTGTTTTATTTTTAATTTTTTAAGTATGTCTTTTTTTGGATTAAAAATAACAAAAGAAACCAAAACAAAATACATTTTGGTTGAATTCGTATTTATTTATGTGTGTTCACTCTTACGAGTATTCACTGTAGGCGCGATATCGGCAAAAAAGTAGCACAGACTCTGTGGAAGTAAACAAAAAGTTATATTTTATTGACCCTGTTGGCAGATTTTCTGCTACAATTTCAGTTTTCTGCTTGCGATTTTTGTCTTCAGGGGGAAGGGGCCCCTTTTTTTTGCCGAGTGTAGGGGGGTGGACACGTTCAGCAAGGAATGTCGAACATATTTAGCCCCCTGTTTTGTTGTGGGTGTGCTGATGCGATCGTGTAAACGCAAAAATATGCGCAAAGCAATAAAAACGTAACAATAAGCAAATAAATGGGAATATACATATATGTATATGCATGAAATTAGCTGTGTAGGCAGTGATAAAATGTTGTTCTCTCCACTTTGCAAACTTGTTTAATAATTAAAAATCAGCACACACTCAAGTCATTTCGAGTACATCAAAGCATACAAACATGCATGGTATATATGAATTTGCATAAAAAATACTTTGTTTGCTTTTGGCGTGCCCAAACATTTTCAATTCCCGATTGATATCATTGCACTGAGAAAAAGTTCTTGTAAGCTTTTCTATCAAATTTCAAAGTTACACAAAGTAAGCACCTAAATAGCAGCAAACCATAAAGTTTGTAATCAGTTTTCCGCTTGTAATTGTCATCGAATAAAAACGAGTGATTTTTAATGTCTTTTTGGGCAAAATGGAGCAACCATCAAATTGAGTCGTTAAATTACATTGTTCGAAAGAAAATGATTTTAGAGCAATGCAATGAAAGGAAAGTATGTAACAGGTCATAGGAAGCGTTTCCGTTTCTATAAAGGATCTTAAAAAATGGACCTGGCGCCCACATCTTTACGGATTTACTAAAAGTGATAATGCAATTTTGTTGTTATTATTAATACCTATCGAAATGTAGGAGACAATTTTAAAATCGGTCCATTCATTAAAAAGTTATGAGTAAATAACAAAAAAAAAATGCAAGCAGTGCAAGCAGTCGATTTACTCTTTGCATATCTTCATTTCCCTCTCTCTTCCATTAGCTTAGTAACTGGTATCTGATGGTCGAGCAATCTCTCTTGTTTTCTATTAAAATCCAGTGCAGCCAGTTTTTGTAAACTCGTGTTATTCGACTTCGATCTTTTTTGTTATACAACCAACTTAGGTTTACATTGAATTAAAATCAGTCGGCAGGTTCAATTCTGCGTCATTCCATCGCCATCGCCTGTTCAATTTGGAAAAGACAGCTCAGCTGACTTTAATTTGCAGCTACATATGTAGATATGTAAACCAAAACGAACCGAACAACGGGGCGGATGGGTGATATATTACCGGCAGGACGCACGTGTTTTTGGCCTGTTCTGTTCTGTTCTGGTCGGGTGCTATTGTTTTAGCCATTACTGCTTTGCAGTTGTCAGTCAATACGTCACTTGCAGACTGGTAGAAGTTACTGTATTTGTCCGTCCGTCCATCCATCCATCCATCAGTCAGTCATTCCATTCAGTCAGTCGGTTAGTTTTGCTCCTGTCTGTTTGTGCAACCGCTGCGGTGATGATTGTTAGCGCTATATTTATTCAGACGGCGTTGATTATTTTTCTAATTTATCTGCACATATTTGCATTTGTGCAAGGAATGACAGCCAGTCAGCTACTATAAAAATGTGTGAGTGTGTGTGTTTGCATTATTGCGAAACACGGCAATTAATCAAAAAAGCCAAAATGATGCCAAAAACGTCGAAATGTGTGAGAACAGGTTGTTGCCAATCAGAGCGCAAATTAACTGTAACTTGACACCCGTCGAGTGGCAATCGTCACTAGGTTTTGTTTTTCGAATTAAATTCAATTTAGTTAAAAGTAAAAACCAGTACAAAATATTTATGAATATACTATTAAAAATAAAAAATATTATCCGTAACTTGACACCCTTTGTGTGGCATTCGTCACTAGGTTTTTTTCGAAAGAATTTTTAATGTAATTAAAATTAAAACCCAGTAAAACGATTTAAAAATGTAGGTAAATATAATATTAAATATTAATAATATTAACGGTAACTTGACACCTTTCGTGTGGCATTCGTCACTAGGTTTTTTTTTTCGAGAAATATTAAATTTAGTTAAAAGTAGAAACCAGTAAAAATATTTTAAAATGTACATAATGTCAATATAATAATAAATATTAAATTTATAAACTATAACTTAGCAGTCTTCGAGTGGCATTCGTCACTACGTTTTTTTCTTTATTGAGATATATTCAATTTAACTAAAAGTAAAAACTGGTACAAATATTTGTTTTATTACTTTATTATTAGCTTGCAAAATTGTAAGTGGCATTTGAAATGATTATGGGTTTTGTTTTGTATTTTTTGTTTTTATTACTGCAGTTTCCAAGCTAAATAAATTATGAAGAACTTGAGTACTCCCTAAGCATATGTGGTTTCCGTCACTGGTGTTAACCTTCAGAATTTTGAATGCCCTTTAATTTGTTTTATTACTGCCAGTGACATTTAAAATGTGTATAAATAATAGAAATAATGTAATTTTGACGTTGGATGTGTAAGGCTTCCGTCATTTTAGCTCTCTCTCTTTTCAATTGTGATTTTAGCAGGTAGTTTTCGTGTCTGAGAACTGTATAAATAATATATATAATCTTTAATTCTAATTTGGTTTTTGATTTACTGTTGTAGTTGGCATGAAATGATTTTTCGTTCCTCATTTCTGGCTAATAAACTGCTGCAACTGTGAGCAATTGTTTAACTGTAAAATGGCCACCCACACACACACCTGCCAATTGTGAGTCTAAGCATCACAATTGCGGTCAAGCGAATAGGAATTTACAATGGTTAAATTGTTTTATTATCGGATTTTAACCAGCTATAACTTCCAAAATACTTGGAATTTTGTCGGGAAATTTTGATGGTATATCCTAAATGAGTTATTCTATGAATTTGTAAAATAAAAACAAGATATATTTAACATACGAATGAGATACTGAAAGATTGAATCACAATGTACCTGATTCATGGGCTCGTGATGAAAGGAGAATAATATATAAATATAGGGTATGGGGCTCGGACTCTTTTATTATTTATACCAGCCATGCAATGTGCGGGGCAACATGAATATAAATGCAAATGCTAACGCGGCTCTACGATTTTTCATTGCAGAGCGCGAGGAACAACACAAGGCAGTGAGGAAAATCCCACACAAGCGGCAAGGTCAAGGACAAGGAGCAGCACCAGGTGGTGGAGCAGAAGCTGGCGCGTCTGGGGCAGTGACACGTGATCAGGTGGGAAGCCAGCCAGCCAGCCAGCCAGACAGCCAGAAGCGAATCACCGGAGTCTCGAGTCTCAGGCGGGGCAGTCGGAGGATCGGGCAACCATGTCTTCGCCGGCGGCGCAGAGCAACAGCAACAGCAGCAGCAGCCAGTCGCAGTCCGCAGCCCAGCAGCAGCAGCAGAATCAAAAGGCAAATGTCAATAACACACACGACAGCAAGAATGCCGCGGCGACGACGGGGACAGCAGGAGCAGGAGCAGCAGCAGCAGCAGGATCAGGATCGGCGGCAGGCACACAACAGCAGCAGCAGCAGGGTCAGGGCAGCGCACCCACGAGCCCCACCAAGCGCAGCACAATATCGACAAAGGAGCGTGTGATCGACAGCGTGCCATTTCCGCCAAGTCGCAAGCTCACCTGCGCCGATGTCTTCGATGCGCGGACCGGGAAGCCGCAGCACGACGTCCTCAAGCAGCACTTCATACTCGAGGGCAGGATCGAGGAGAGCGCCGCCCTGCGGATCATCCAGGAGGGGGCCACGCTGCTGCGCACGGAAAAGACGATGATCGACATCGAGGCGCCGGTGACGGTGTGCGGCGACATTCACGGCCAGTTCTACGACCTGATGAAGCTATTCGAGATCGGCGGCTCGCCGGCGACCACCAAGTATCTGTTCCTGGGCGACTACGTCGATCGGGGCTACTTCAGCATCGAGTGCGTCCTGTATCTGTGGTCGCTGAAGATCACCTATCCGCAGACGCTGTTCCTGCTGCGCGGCAACCACGAGTGCCGGCATCTGACCGAGTACTTCACCTTCAAGCAGGAGTGCAAGATCAAGTACTCGGAGCGCGTGTACGACGCCTGCATGGACGCATTCGACTGCCTGCCGCTGGCGGCGCTCATGAACCAGCAGTTCCTCTGCGTGCACGGCGGCCTGTCGCCCGAGATACACGAGCTGGAGGACATCCGGCGGCTCGACCGCTTCAAGGAGCCGCCCGCCTTCGGCCCCATGTGCGACCTGCTGTGGTCCGATCCGCTGGAGGACTTTGGCAACGAGAAGAACTCGGACTTCTACACGCACAACTCCGTGCGCGGCTGCTCGTACTTCTACAGCTACGCCGCCTGCTGCGACTTCCTGCAGAACAACAACCTGCTGTCGATCATCCGGGCGCACGAGGCGCAGGACGCCGGCTACCGCATGTACCGCAAGAGCCAGACCACCGGCTTCCCCTCGCTGATCACCATCTTCTCGGCGCCCAACTATCTCGACGTGTACAACAACAAGGCGGCGGTGCTGAAGTACGAGAACAACGTGATGAACATCCGGCAGTTCAACTGCTCGCCGCACCCGTACTGGCTGCCCAACTTCATGGACGTGTTCACCTGGTCGCTGCCCTTCGTGGGCGAGAAGGTGACCGAGATGCTGGTCAACGTGCTGAACATCTGCTCCGACGACGAGCTCATGACCGAGGAGAGCGAGGAGCCGCTCTCGGACGACGAGGCGGCGCTGCGCAAGGAGGTGATCCGCAACAAGATCCGTGCCATCGGCAAGATGGCGCGCGTCTTCTCCGTGCTGCGCGAGGAGTCCGAGTCGGTGCTGCAGCTGAAGGGCCTGACGCCCACGGGCGCCCTGCCCCTCGGCGCCCTGTCCGGCGGCAAGCAGTCGCTCAAGAACGCCATGCAGGGCTTCTCGCCCAACCACAAGATTACCTCGTTCGCGGAGGCCAAGGGCCTGGATGCCGTCAACGAGCGGATGCCGCCCCGTCGGGATGCCACGCCCTCGCCGGCGGAGGAGGGCCAGAAGTCACTGTCGGCCGCGGCAGCAGCAGCGGCCAATGCAAATGCGAATTCAATCAATGGATAATTCTAAGTCAGTTGGCAACAGCAGCGGCTAAAGCGGCAGCTACAGCTATATTAACAGTCAAGTTAGTCAGATGGATCGATGGGTCTTTTAAGGGAGGATCTCTGGAGGATCGAGGGATGCAGGAGGAGGAGGAGGAGGAGGAGCAGCAAAGCGAAGACGGTGGGAGGGAGTCGGCTAAACAGAGGCAGAGGAATATCGTCTCGAGTTCGGCTCAAAGGGAGATGCAAACTGGGCTTACACGCAGATACAGTACGGCTAATTGGAAAGAAGGATCATATTAGTATATATAGAAGGCGAAATTGATCAAGGATAGTGTATGGATCAAGAGCAGAGACACCACAACAACAACAAGCAACAGCAAACAACCGAAACAACAACAACAACACAGCAAGCGTTAACGAGTACTTATTGGTATTAAATGCAAAAACAATTGAAAGCAAAACAAACACAACCCCCCCTCGAAAATGGAAGCTAATTATAAAAGTTGAAAGATTATAGAATTATATATATAATTAATATATATATATATCAAAATTTTGTGCAACGTTATATCAAAAGAGCAAATGTAAAAGCTAAGCAAAAGTTTAAAGGCGCCCGGCTTTTGGCAAGCAGTTGGCAAGCAGTTGACAAGAAGCAAGCAGTAGAGACAGATGCAGTGTTGCATGTTGCGCGCATTCCCCCATTTAAAAACGAAAAACAAAAAATTTAAAACAAGCAACCAAAAAAACAAAAAAACTTAATACAAGCAAATTAGGTAATTTAAATTATTTGCTAACAAATTGTAAAACGAATCGAAACCAAACTCTCACATCTCTGTAAAGTCAAACCAAACGAAGTGACAAAACAAAAACAAAAGCTAAAGAGAACTAAATCTAGCCTCTAAAAACTGAAGCGAAAGCTAAGGGAAATTCTACTACTTTCGTTGTGTGGCGTCTGCGGCGACTTCTTCTAAGAAAAAAGTATAAATTAAAGTGAAAATAATATAAATGAAAGAATGAAACAACTTCCTACAACAACAACAGCAGCAGCAACAATATTTTACTACAATATTTTAATACAAGAACAAGAAACGACTGAATCTCTCTCTATCTATCTAACTATCCGACTCTTTCTCTCTCGCACACACAACATCAAACATCAAACATTAAACACCACACACACACACACACACAGAACATACATATACAGATACACACATACCAACAAGCGGGGCGATGATCCAACTCAAAGTTGATCGTCCCCCGCCGATCGTTTATCGGTAATCGTTTATCGTCGCCATTGTCGCCTCACACTCTCTCATCTGGTGATTGTGTATGTGGTCTTTATATACGTGCCATCTTTGTCGTAGTCATTAGCTGAATATATAATTAATACATTTGCATGGGCCGAGGCAGCGATGCAGGCGCCAATTGCTGTGCCACCCCAAACCACCACCTCCAGCCTGCCACCAATCGAACTATCGAACTAATCGTTATCGAAGTTATCGTATTAATCGAATCTCAAGGCGCGTCGATAGGCGGCTGCCCCACCCCATTGTTCCTCCCCCCTTTACCGTTACCGTTACCCTCCAGCATTTGCGCCTGCGTCGTCGTCGCTGCCGCGTGCAAATCCTTTTTATACTTAATGGAATTTTAGTTACTTTTTAAAGTCAAAAAAACAAGATGTAGAGGAGAAATTAAAGGGGGATATTGAGTATGAACAGAGCAGTTAAGAAAAAAAAGGAAGCCTAACTAAAGATGATGTAATTAACGTGTGCAAAGGGAATTTTGTTATTTCTTAAATTTTTTTATATTTCTTGTTATCTTTTTTATAATTTGTATTTATTGTAAACTATTTATATATACATATATATATATATAGATATATACACACAATCAGCAACACACATAATATAAATACATAAATATATATTTATAAACTAAATTGTTGTTTCTACTTCATTATTGTTTACTACACCTTTTTCTATAAGCGTTAAGTAATTTAATTAAATGAATTTAATAAAATGAAAAATTAAACAAACAAAAACCGCCTGCAGCCAAAGAAGGCAAGGCAAAACGTTTTCTTAAACAAAAATAATTATATTCTACAATAAGAAGTAAGGGAAAAATCATTAACAACAAAAAACAAAAACAAAAAACCGACCTATGTGAATTAACTATTAAGTTTAAATTATACAAAAAGATGAAAATTAAACCAAATAACGTTTACAACCATTAACAACAAAAAATATGTTGAAACCAAAAAAGCAAACAATTGTGCAGCATGCAAAAACACAAAAAAAAAACCAAAAAAACAAAAAACCAACAATTTTTCAAATTCGACAAGACAACAAACCCAATTTAAAGTTTAAAGAAAATGTAATACAAAATGCAAACTTATAGCAATTTGAAGTACTTTATAAACAAATATACATACATACGCCTAAGAGAACGTATATACACATATATATACATATATATATATATTTGAAATAGTTAAGGGTCGAAGTTGGTACTACGATTATGCGCACGGCTTATTGGCAATTCGATTTGATTAAAGATTTGTATCGCTGGTTAGTTTTCAATTTGCAAACAAGGTTTTAATCGATAACTACGACTATTGGTTATCGATAAACTGGTATTGGCCGATAGGCCGTGCGTATAAGCCAAGTATGAGACGAAAAGAGAAGGAGATAAAGAGCGAGCAGCAGCTAATCGAACATGACAAACAAACAAATAAGAAACAGAGCAAGAAAGCGCGAAAATGCAAAATGCAGCAATCACAAAAATCGATGACAAATTCAAATTGAGTTGATAGGCGATAACACACCCACGCAGCATTGAGAGGTATTACAAACTGGAAAGCATGCTTCGTTTTCTTGCCATTTTCCGATTTCCGCTTCTTCCTCGCGTGTTTTTGCCTTTGCGCGGGTGCCCATGCGCAGCAGCAGCGGCTACGTCATCATGCAGTTAATAATGGTTACAGATGATTTACATTTATATATATTTACATATATATATCTATATATCCATATACAATATAAACCGATCTAAAGTTAAGCGTTTCACAGACACAACAATTTACAAGACGTTTATGCATTTCGATTCAATGAAAAACCAAGAATACGAATAATACAAATATTATAAACAATAATTACAAACCAATAAAGGATTACAGCAAGCAAACTCTTACTATTATTTTTAAAGTAAATGAGACATTTTTAACAAATTACCGCAACCCATATACATATGTATAGCATATAACTGAATACTTTTCTCCTCCAACGTTCCCACAATACAAAAACAAAACCAAAAAAAAAAACAAAAAAGATGAAAAAGCAAAGGAAAAACAAATTACAAATTAGCGCGCTCTTCTAAAATAAAAAGCAAATGCAAAAACCAAAGTAAATTAAATTAATATACACATACATATATGAGAAGAAACCCAAAAACCAAAATATATAACATATTACGAGTAAGCGAATAATATATAAAAAATACTTTTATACTATATACACGAAGCCTAAGAACTAAACAAAAGCGAAACAAAATTATAATAACGACTACCCCTCTCGCTCTACCCACTCCATTCTCCTGTTGTCCTGCTCTTTGCTCTCCTGTCTCTCTGTCTCTGTCTCTCTCGCACTCAACAACTCCCGACATAAACTTCGACCTTGACCCTTTCTGTCCTCTCTCTCTCTCACTCCCTCTATGTCTTTCTCTCTCTCTCTCTGTCTTTTCGGTGACCTAGGAACACAGCAAATATGCGAAACCAAATTAAAAGCAAATGGAAATACAACTCTTTTTAACGGTACATTTTCTACTACACCATATAAAATATGAAATACAAGAGAAGAAGCGAATATAAAGTAAAAACCAAATTACCAATTACAGCAAACAAAAACAATTTCAAACCAAAAATGAATCGGTCTTGTTTTGAATATCACTTTCGGCAATATTTGATGGATTGTATTGTAAAAATCTCTTGAGGTTTGAAATAATTTAAGAATCTGTCTAAAAGTATGCAGTGAAAGTTCTATATTGGTCATAAGACCTTTAAATTAACATTTTGGCGTTGCCCATTTTTAATCACTTTTTAAAATGATTTCAAATCTCTTCAGATTTAAATCGCATCTCAAAAAATCAAGTAGCTGGTATTCAAAAAGATTGCCAAAGGTGATTATAAAGCTAAATAAATCGATACTCCAATATCTACCGAAAGTTTCAGTCAGAAAAGGCCGGTCACAGACAATTCCACTCTCAATTTGATATCGAAAAGAATGTCGGATATTGAACACTTATATTTTGAGTTAGTTTTCTTTTCTAAATTTCCGTTGGACTGTTAGTTTGTCCATTAGCTTGAACTACTGTGTACAATCAAATACTTAAGTCGTTTTAAGTAAACAGTTTTGTTAACCAATTGTTTTTTATAAAAGTATATACACTTATTAAATTTAACGAAAATAAAAAGAAAATGGGAAGATTTCTTGTTTTTCGTTCTCACTCATCTCCATTGCAATGCAAATGAAAACCTTTTCATCATATGTATGTATGTATGTAATTATATACGTTACCTTAATTTTTTTGATACATGTATTTTTCAACATCTACTTCCTGCCCTCGAATGCTTTAAAACTTTACACAAAAAAAGAAAACAATTTAATATATATTATAAACAAAAAAGAAAGGACAAAGAAACAAAAAAACAAGAAAAACCAAATGAAGAAAAAACCAAAAAAGAATTAAAACTTTACCTTTTGGATAAATCAATTTAAATGCATATTTTATATATATTTAAACATTTATTTATATATAACATGTATGATAAATATAAGTTGGAAAAACTTTGTCAAAGCAAAAAGTTTATATACTTATATTAAAAACAAATGGATGAAAGAAACCAAAAAAGAATATAAATAATATTAAAAATGCAACATAACAAATTAACAACAAGAAAACATCACATCTAGATAAATCTCTTAAAAATTTTCAATTTTATTATTAAACCGAAACAAAAGTTAATGAATAAACAAATTTATAAACTGTATTGCAAGGGCAGCTGGCTGGCAAAAATTACATAATAATTGCGCCGTTGTGACAAAAAATTGTATGCAATCCAAGGAATAACAAATTAATTTACAACATAAATATAAAGATATAGATAATGGAGAAGTAGACGATGGAGATAAAGAAAGAAGGCAACAACAAAACGCAGACAACAAGTTTTAACATTAAGTGAATGCAAAACAAAATGAAAGAAAAGAAAACCAAACAAAACAAAATGATTATCAATGTTATTAACATAATTAATATTAACAAAAAGGAAAAAACAAGCAAAAACAAAAACAACAACAAAAAACAATACAAAAACATTAAAAAAATATACAAGTACCTATCCTGAGAATAAAATGCGCGCACATTTATTATTTCCTCTAAAAGTTCGTTTGAGTATCTGCAAGTCCATTTCGCCACCGATGAATTTCAGAGAATAATCCTAGGGGATCGAAAATCTAAGGGCTCGAAAAGTGGTGGACTGGGTGCGTCCAAAAATTGGCTCCAGAACCTATAGTTTTGGATCACTTAAGGCAGGTTTGTAAAAAAATGGGGCGAAACCGACCAGTGCTGAAACAGTCGTTAAAAACTGCCCACAGTTGGTTATTGATGACAAAAATATTAGCCTTTGCTTAGTTTGCTTTATGCAAATATAACCATAACCACTTTAATTTATCACCGGTTTCATTGAAACCAGTTTGTCAGTATTTAATTCATAATACACGATTTTTATGATGATGATTTTCCAGCTTGAGTTTTTTAGGAAACAAACATGTTAATGATCTTTACTCCAAAAATGCACCTGTGATAAATATTGATTAAAGTTTAGTTATAGGAATTTGAACCATCTAAAAATCGAAAAAGGAATTATGCGAAGTATATCGTTCTGAAATGGACATTTTGTAGCAAGAGGTCTTTAATGTATTAATTAGCATTATCCTTCCACCTCAAGACGTGGCGATTTGCGCAGCTCAAACATTTGATTTTCATAAAAGATGCTAATCTTTTTTCATAACCGTTAAGTATATATCACTATAATTATTTATTCTTTTTCAAAAAATATCGATTGATTTCAATTTAATTTCTGAATCGGTAGCAAAGGTTCGAACCTTTCGGTATTTCCTTATGCCAAACATTTACTTGATTAGTTATTAACAAATAATAGTTATAAACGGTTATTTAGCTTATATCAAAATAAAATAGAATTAAAATATTGCCACTCCCATACAATTTTATATAATGTTTTGTTATTTATTTTTTTTGTTCTTTTACAGCTTGCATACAATTCCAGGTTCTAGTCCCGGCTTAGGTATCCATTCCAGCGACGGGACCCTGCGGTCTAATTGAGCTTTTGGGCCACGGTCACACTGCTGAAAATTCCATTAGAAAACGAGAAAAAAACGTAGCGAAAGAGAGAAATTACGACGTCTGCAGGGCCGTAGCGAAAAAAACAGCAAATACTGAGACAGAGTGACTATGATTGTTGTTAAGTGAAAGCAGCACTTTGGAAAACGGCCAGGCCAGCGGCAGAGGGAAAGCAGCAGAGTAGCGTTCGAAAATCAAGCCAGCGGAAAGCGAATCAAAGCTGGAAGGCGATAAAGCGGCTCACCAGGCACCACCACCACAGCAGCAGCAGCAGCCAGGGAAAGTGCGAGAGTGTGCGTGCGTGTGAGTGTAAGTGAGTAAGTGTGTGGGCAGTGGAAAGGAAACTGAGCCGAGAGAGAGAGAGAGAGAGCGGAGAGCCATAGTGGAAGTGGGAGCGGGAGAGGAGAAGTCCGATTCCGAGTCCCGGAATAGAAACCCCCAAAAGGATTTGGATTAGGATCGGGATCAGGATCAGGAACAGGAAACGCGCACCCAGACCATGTCTTCGAATAACCAGAGCAGCAGCGCTGGCCAGGCGGCAACAAGTGCCCGCACAGGCGGTTCCAGTGCCGCAGAAGCCACAGATGCCAATAGTACCGCCTCTAACAACAACAACAACAACAACAATAGCAGCAGCACTACCGCTGCCTCCGCCGCCGCCGCCGCCTCGCAGAGCAACAACAGCGAAAACAGCAGCAGCAGTCCCACCACTGGAACGGCAGCGGGAACGGCAGCGGGCACTGGAAAGCTGCACGGCGGCCACACGGCGGTCAACACCAAGGAGCGGGTGGTGGACAGCGTCCCCTTCCCGCCCAGCCACAAGCTGACCCTGGCGGAGGTGTTCGACCAGCGGACCGGCAAGCCGAACCACGAGCTGCTCAAGCAGCACTTCATCCTGGAGGGCAGGATCGAGGAGGCGCCCGCCCTGAAGATCATCCAGGACGGAGCCGCCCTGCTGCGGCAGGAGAAGACGATGATCGACATCGAGGCGCCGGTGACCGTCTGCGGCGACATCCACGGCCAGTTCTACGACCTGATGAAGCTGTTCGAGGTGGGCGGCTCGCCGGCCAGCACCAAGTATCTGTTCCTGGGCGACTACGTCGATCGGGGCTACTTCAGCATCGAGTGCGTCCTGTATCTGTGGTCGCTGAAGATCACCTATCCGCAGACGCTGTTCCTGCTGCGCGGCAACCACGAGTGCCGGCATCTGACCGAGTACTTCACCTTCAAGCAGGAGTGCAAGATCAAGTACTCGGAGCGCGTGTACGACGCCTGCATGGACGCATTCGACTGCCTGCCGCTGGCGGCGCTCATGAACCAGCAGTTCCTCTGCGTGCACGGCGGCCTGTCGCCCGAGATACACGAGCTGGAGGACATCCGGCGGCTCGACCGCTTCAAGGAGCCGCCCGCCTTCGGCCCCATGTGCGACCTGCTGTGGTCCGATCCGCTGGAGGACTTTGGCAACGAGAAGAACTCGGACTTCTACACGCACAACTCCGTGCGCGGCTGCTCGTACTTCTACAGCTACGCCGCCTGCTGCGACTTCCTGCAGAACAACAACCTGCTGTCGATCATCCGGGCGCACGAGGCGCAGGACGCCGGCTACCGCATGTACCGCAAGAGCCAGACCACCGGCTTCCCCTCGCTGATCACCATCTTCTCGGCGCCCAACTATCTCGACGTGTACAACAACAAGGCGGCGGTGCTGAAGTACGAGAACAACGTGATGAACATCCGGCAGTTCAACTGCTCGCCGCACCCGTACTGGCTGCCCAACTTCATGGACGTGTTCACCTGGTCGCTGCCCTTCGTGGGCGAGAAGGTGACCGAGATGCTGGTCAACGTGCTGAACATCTGCTCCGACGACGAGCTCATGACCGAGGAGAGCGAGGAGCCGCTCTCGGACGACGAGGCGGCGCTGCGCAAGGAGGTGATCCGCAACAAGATCCGTGCCATCGGCAAGATGGCGCGCGTCTTCTCCGTGCTGCGCGAGGAGTCCGAGTCGGTGCTGCAGCTGAAGGGCCTGACGCCCACGGGCGCCCTGCCCCTCGGCGCCCTGTCCGGCGGCAAGCAGTCGCTCAAGAACGCCATGCAGGGCTTCTCGCCCAACCACAAGATTACCTCGTTCGCGGAGGCCAAGGGCCTGGATGCCGTCAACGAGCGGATGCCGCCGCGCCGGGATCAGCCGCCCACGCCCAGCGAGGATCCGCACGCGCACAGTCAGCAGGGCGGCAACAATGGGGCTGGGCACGGGTAAGCTGAGTGCGCTCTAGTGAGGATGCAGATGCAGAGGCGGAGGCGGTGGAGCCTGGCGTGGCTAAGTGGCTGAGTGGCTGAGTGGAGCGGAGTGGAGCGGAGGCAACACAAAGAACACCAACACCAACCGAACGGAACCTTAATTAAGCTTAATGTGGCAGAGCAGCAACTTAAATACTAAAACCAATTCTAATTCTAAGCGATGGTCATGATAACCCCCTGCATTTCGTAAGTGATCCCGAATCCGCACCCGCACCAGCTCCATGCCCATGTCCATGTCCATGGCCCAGAGCAGAGATTTGTTTTTACGCGGGCGCGCGCACATTGGATATTAGAATTATGTGTGGCATACTTTGGCGCGCCGGCCCCCAGAAAAATTCCCTTTCTCAATAGCAGAAAACCAACCGTAACCCATAACCTAGCTTAAGTTGTAATGTATAAACCGAAAATGGGAAAATTTTAAAATGGAAACAATGAACAAAACCGAAAAACCAGCTACAAAAAAATTATAAGGAGTGAAGAAGAAAGAATCACTAACCTAAAGAGATGTGAAAAAATCCAGCGCTAATCTGTTCCAAACATTTAGCAGCGCCAAAAAGAAGCGTACATATATGTATACATATGATTATATAGAAATAACCGAAAGTGTAATGAAATTCAAAATGAACAAAGGTCATTTTTGTAATAATCTTAATCCTTGAACTCTAGAAATGTAATCTTGCATAGAAAACATAAAGAAAATTTCGAAACCATTTGCAATATGTGCCGCAATAGTCCATAAATGTTCCTTATACGAATTAAACATTGAAAGTGAAACCAGAGTTTTTTTTTTAAATATTTAAAACTATATATGTATAATTGTTGCATAATCTAACTTTCGATTTAATATGTTACATTTTACGTGTACGACTGTGTGTGTATAACTACTTGCGTTCTATTAGTTGCTTGTCGAACGAAAAGAGCACGAGAAACCCGAAAAGCCACAAGAGATGTTTGAGGATCAAGTCTAGCTAATTAATCAGTTGATCAATGCGATCGATTAGATTGCCGTAAATGCATTTTAAACAACACAAAGAATTAGAGAGAGAATGGGAGAGCGGGAGGTACGGATCGTTTACCATTTAAATAGCAAATCAAATATTTAACTAATAAATTAAACTATGTAAACATGATAGCATATGATATAATATATTTCTGCGTGTAAATTGAACTAAAAGATTAATTAATTTAGCGAAACGAAATGATTTTTGTTAAGAGCGAATACACACACACACACACACAACTAATTTGCTTTGACTTAGAAAGCTAATTGAAAAGAGATTAGGCAAAAATGAGATGTATTTAAGTAAGTATAAGGCATGGAACACATTCGTTTCAGATCAATTCAATGATAATGATGGCAATCAATTTCTCAATTTCCGCCTACGCCCAACTATATTCCCCAACTGATGGCATCGTATCAGCTTCTCCAGTATCTGTATCAGTATCGATATATCAAATCAAAATATATTAGCACACACGCAAGAAATGCCTTCATCCAGATCACACCTATCCGCGTCCCAAAAATATTTACGCTGTACTTTGCTTCGACTCTTCAACCACCAATAATTGAACATTGAACTCTAATCCAAATATTTACACAGATATAAATATATATATATTATATACCGAGTTGACATTGGAAAACAATTAGTTATTAGTGATCTATGCACGTATCGTAACAATACCAAGATTATTTAAATCGTAGCTAAAGAAACAAATCAAGGATGGACCGCAGTCTAGGAAGGAAACTTAGCTTTTATAAAAAAACAAAAAAACAGAAAGACGGAAAATGCGGAAAAGTAAACAATTTACTCAGCTAATTGAGAAATATACACACATATATATATAGCGTTTTTTTTAATCCACAACCACAACTATATAATTATTGAAAATGCAAAGAGAACTTCGTTTAAGTTTCAATGTTTCTGTTCTCTATATGGTTAAATTGTTGATGCTGTTATACCGCTAATGCATATTTAGTTAGTACCGAGTGAAATGGGGAATCCCCCAAAACAAATGCAATTGCAATAGTCAAGTGAATGAAATGGAAGAACACCAACACCAACAGTAAAAAACGAATATGTACACTCAGAAAACCAATCGGCATTAAATTTATAAAATTATTGTTAAAGATTGTAAGCATTGCCTATTTCATTTGAATATATTCTTTAAAACTAGAACATTATCAAAAGGTCTAATATTGAAAAATATTCATATATCAGCAACTAACTATATTTTTCATAAAAATGGAAATTATCCAAAGATTTATAACTTTTAAGACACTGCAACTATGGAACTTATTACACCTTTTTCTTCAATTTAGATATTCCGATATAATTTAATTGTATATTTTTAAGGCGATTTGTGTTCCGAGTGTATCAAGAGCCATGGTAAAGTATTAAGCTAAGGACTAATAATAATTCTACATTATGTATAACTAACGATCCATTTGCTTAGCTCCCTCGACGATGAAAGTAACTACTGCATGAGGCATAGTGAAAACTTCCCGGCACATAGTAAAATTAAATAAATTAATAGAAAGATAAAGGGAGAGGAGTAGATTTTGATAATACATCAAGGCCATACCTACATACTTATGGAACTATTAAAAAGCATTAAAACGTTCAAGATAACGCATAATACCCAGACAAAGCAGAATCAAAAATGCGGGAACGAGACGGCTGCGTGGTACATACATATATATGTAAGACATTTCGCCTCTTAAAGCAATTATAAAGATAACAAATGAGTAACGTTTATTATATTATTAAATTATACATACATATACATACTATATAAACGGAATAAAATAAATCAGCAGCAAACTTTCCATTTTATGGCGGTAGATTCCTTATTTAATTTTTTTTCCCGATGGGGGTAGAAAGAATTTTAGATAGCATAGGCGATATTAAATACTAAAGGGAGTCGCACAAAGTGCTCCTTAATTTTTAATTTGGTATGAATACGTCTGATTTGGATACCGGTTAAAGAAACCCTAACTTTTATCCTGTTGATATTTATTTTTTGAAGTTAATGCAATTTAAATAAATACAATTCTTTTATTTATTCAGACTAAAAAAGAAGATTCAACCTAAAGATTTCAAAATATCAATTTAACAAAATTAAATTACTCTAACGTTAGCCGCTTTTTAGAAAAGCTTTCTTTGCTGTTAAGGGAATTCCCCTTTTAGGCAGAGCAGCAGCAGCAGAAGACGAAATTAATTTTTCTTAGATTAATTAATAGGAATCCCCTTTAATAACAATGACACAATTTTTTAAGTGTGGCCGTTATGTTGATTTTCAAATTTTTTTTTTAAATACACTTGAAAATGCAGTTAGGATCCCAAATAGATTTCCCTGTAAAACGATATGGTTATAATTATTGATAAATCTATACAAATTTTAAACAGGTTTATCGACATGCCCTACTCAATAATTTTGTCTTTCTTCAAAAATAAAAAAAAAACGTATTTTGGATTGCCTTGTCAGGAGCGTGTCTCCGCTATGACAGAAGGGTGTCTCCGCTATGGCAGCGGTATTTCAGTGTGACCGTTTGTCAACTATTTAGTATATTTGAACGCCGTAGAAATGAGGATTGCAGCCCTGGTTGCGCCATAGAATCAGGGTGGCAACGCTGCCGGCAAGAAATATCGATAACAGAGTTGTACCGCCCAAAATAACTAAATTATAAGTGTTCGCTAGTCGCCGACGACCAGCCATTTGGCCATAATAAATTGCTAGTGCAAATTGGTAGTTAGATACCCAATCAACAACCAGCGGAGCGGCTGAGAAACGTAAGAAAGAGCGGCGAAGAGAGGAAAACAAATGCTCCCGCCCGCGTGTTTGTCAGTGTGTTAGTGCGCGGCGGGTGTCCCTGTGTGTGTGTGTACGAATGGAAGTGGAAAGTGTGTGATTAAGTGCAGTCGCTCTCCGGCGAACCAAAAAAATCATTCAACAGTAGTGTTTAATGAACGGCTGAGCCAAGCCAACAGGAAACGCGATCGCTCAACTCCCCCCGCCACGCTCTCTGTATTTGTTGTTGTTGTTTTTTGTTTTGTTTTATCAAGGAGCGGCGCGCCGGAACCAATAGAAACCAACACCCACAAAGGCCACCAAGTCGCGTCATCAGTGGAAGTGGAAAGGCAGCAGCAGCAGCAGCAGCAGAAGGAGAAGCAGTGGTATTCCAGCTCCAGTTAGAGTCCTCGAAACATGGACAGCAAGGGTCGAAATGTCATCGTCTGTGATAACGGCACAGGGGTAAGATAAATGGAGAAGCCCCCGCACCACCCACAAGCATACATACATGCACACACCTATGTACGCAGTGGACTGTGTGTGACACACATTTCCAGAGTCGAGCCGCGTTGTTGTTGTTGTTGCTCTCGCTGCGCTTCTTTCTTTTTCTTGTAGGTTAAGCGGAGCTTGGATTCCCATTCCCATTCCGACTTCCAGTGCTTGCCAGCGGGCGTTGACGTCGCGCGGCGGTTGCAATTACGCCTGTGTCTTGTCTTCTTCTTCTTGGCCGCCGCCGCCGCGCTTGGCTTTAGTCACTGGAAACAACCGATCGTCGATTACTCAGCGGTTCCAGCGTTACTCAGTATCACCCACACACACACACGTATTGCACACCTATTTTCCCCCAAGAGCGGCACGGCGCAAACAACAACAACAACACAACACACGGCTATTTCCAACATTCAGTTCTTATCGGCAAGCCGGAGAATTTTTGTTTTGTGATTACGCCCCGATTTCGATAAGAGTTCGATAAACCAAAGCAGTTAAAGAGCAAAGAAATTATACACTGAGAAAAATTAATATAAGGAGCAATAGGATATTGTTAAATTTGTAATATAAGGAGTATAAAATGTTAAAATTCGTCCTGAATAAGCTTAATCGTTTAAAAGATATTAAAAATACTTTAAATACTTACAAATTTTAGAAAAACAAACTTTTTTTTGTAAATTAAAAAAAATAGAAATTTGGTCAGTTTGTTTATAGAGAGATCTATCCATTTCCATCATAATTTACGACTTACCATTCAATAGATTTATGTAAATATGACATAAGAAGGATTAATATCAGATTAATATCTTCGAGGATAAACTTACATTCTTATCCTTTGCCATGCCTTATTGACATCCAAACATTGATTTTATAATTCCACCAATAGCTAATTATATTTCCCTTTTTATTGCAGTTCGTCAAGTGCGGATATGCCGGCAGCAATTTTCCCACCTTCATTTTCCCCTCGATGGTGGGACGACCCATGATTCGGGCAGTTAACAAAATCGGCGATATCGAAGTCAAGGTATGATCCACCGTACTTACCAATTCGGCTATTCATAATTAATCAACTACATGAAAAGATAGTACAGCCATATACACTACACAAATTGAATTGTGCACAGGCCATCAAAAACATAATCATATATAATATCATTTTTTCGATGTAACTTATCCATGACTAGTTAAACGGCAAGAAAAACATTTAGCGCATAGAAGTTCACTATCCACCAAACCATCCACCATATTTTCACCCCCACCCCATCTGATTTTTGAGTCAAATTGCTCTATTTTCTATTCTGTCTATTAGTGTGGCATATCTTCTTACTTCTATATGATTTGTTTTTGATCTACCCCATTCACATTTCATTTCATTTTCCATCTTGATTTCATCACGGGGTCTTGTCCCAAAATTGCATTTTTGCTTGAGTTGCATTGGTCCCGGTGTGTGGGTCTCTCACATTATGCATACTATATGTATTATGGTAAAAGAATATATCGTTGGTCCGAGGAGTTCTTTTAAAACCCATGTTTAGGCCTAGATTAATGATCAAGGGATATGAAGGCCGGACCACAGAGACATGAAGCTTTTTTTAGTGCATCACGTGATATTCGATATTACCGAAAAGTAAACACTCATTTGTATTCCCCTATATAGAACCTAGCAGTTACTTTAGTTTAAACAGAGGAAACGACAAACTCATGAAAAAACACACCTCTTGAATAGCAACAAAAACAACAAGAAATATATTTTAAAAATTGTAATCTTTCTGTTCTTTTAATATTCTTATACATTTTTCTGTTCTTTTTTTACATATTTTTTTGAAAACAAATATTTTGCAGGATTTACATGTCGATGTAAGTCAAATTTGTATAGTTTAAAAAACCAAACAAAAACCAAACTACCACTAAGAAATCTAATCACCAAGCAACACAAAAATCGAATACCATTCGGCAAAGGTTAAATAATAAAAATTTGTATACGATTTACACACAACAATAAACAACAAAAAACACGCTTGACAAAATATTACGAAACTCTCTTGAATAATTCTAGTAAAAGCTACGCACTTAGGATTAACTTATTAACTGTTCACATTTTTCACTAGTTGTTTGCCTTGAATATTCTCCCAACTATATTCTCCGGCCCTGCCCAACTATCTTGTTGCTTCCTTTTGGCCACCGTCTATAATTGTAATCCATACACAATAAAAAAATATACAAAAATCTATAAAATCTTATATCGGAACAGTCTGAGGCGTGTTTCAAAGCCAATTCGAATCGAAAATATTTATCAATTTAACGACAAACTTGCGTAAATATAATTTTTGTTATTTAACTTGTATTCCTCTTGTTTTTTTTACCCAGCTTACCCTTTTTGTTTTGTGTACATATTTTAAGGCTACCCAATTCAGTTGTTTCTTGTTTTTATACTTAATTTTAAATATTTTGAAACTGATTATTATTTATTGACTGCATGATGTCCTGTTTTTGCTTACCCAGTTTGTTTTGCACGTCTGTGTTTGTCCAAGTTTACCTGTAAGTCCAGGAGGTAACTCGCTTATTTTTGCCTCTTGTTGATCGTTGATTGTTTAGCCTAGTTTAGTTATGTCCTTGTAGTGTAATCGCTGTTATTGTGTCTCCGCCTCTTTGTGAATGTCCCCAGACTAACGCTTACCATCCCAGCCACTAAGCAAAACCCGCCTGAAACCAAACCGAAACCGAAACCAATCCAAATCCAAATCCAAATCCCTACCCAAATCCAATCCAAATCAAACCCATTTGGTGATCGATCCATCGAACCAAGCCACGGACACTAACGCTGCGTCCTCTGACGAACGAATTTACAGGATCTGATGGTCGGCGACGAGGCGTCACAGCTGCGATCCCTGCTAGAGGTCTCCTATCCCATGGAGAACGGCGTCGTGCGCAACTGGGACGACATGTGCCACGTGTGGGACTACACGTTCGGGCCCAAAAAGATGGACATCGATCCGACGAACACAAAAATCCTGCTGACAGAGCCGCCCATGAATCCCACAAAGAACCGCGAGAAAATGATCGAGGTGAGTTTTAATATTATAGAAACTGATCATTATTTTATTTACATTTTTCTTAAACCCGACTAACGATGCTTTTCGTGTTTCTCATCACAGGTGATGTTCGAGAAATACGGCTTCGATTCCACATACATTGCCATCCAGGCTGTGCTGACGCTATATGCCCAGGGTCTGATCTCGGGCGTTGTGATCGATTCGGGCGATGGTGTCACGCACATATGTCCCGTGTACGAGGAGTTTGCCTTGCCCCATCTGACGCGGCGACTGGACATTGCCGGTCGGGATATTACTCGCTATTTAATTAAGGTTGGTTCGGGAAATCAGTTTGCGTATGTTTCAAACTATCACCTACACTTGAATTACCTCCACAGTTACTGTTACTGCGTGGCTACGCCTTCAATCATTCCGCTGACTTCGAAACGGTGCGCATCATGAAGGAGAAGCTCTGCTACATTGGCTACGACATCGAGATGGAGCAGCGTTTGGCCCTGGAGACGACGGTGCTGGTGGAGTCCTACACGCTACCCGATGGCCGGGTAATCAAGGTCGGCGGCGAGCGTTTCGAGGCGCCCGAGGCCCTCTTCCAGCCGCATTTAATCAACGTCGAGGGTCCGGGCATTGCGGAACTGGCCTTCAACACCATCCAAGCGGCGGACATCGATATCCGACCCGAGCTCTACAAGCACATAGTCCTGTCCGGCGGCTCCACCATGTATCCCGGTCTGCCCAGTCGGTTGGAGCGAGAGATCAAACAGCTGTACTTGGAGCGGGTACTCAAGAACGATACGGAAAAGCTGGCGGTAAGCGGATTTTTATATCCCCTAACTCGTAGAGTAACCTCAAAATAAGCGCCCACATCTTTAGAGATTTTGTAAAAATGTAAATGCCATTTTGGAAAGCTTTATAATACCTAACGAAACGAGAAGATAATTTCCAAATTGGACCATTCGTTAAGAAGTTATGAGCAGATAATGCCGGAAAATGCATGGCGCAACTTTCAAGCGACTGCTTGCTTTGCTGCTTGCATATCTCCATCTCTCTCACTCTCATTCAGCTGAGTAACGGGTATTTGATAGTCGAGATACAACACTATTGCTTTCTCTCTTGTTTTGTATTAAAATTTGTATAGAAACTTATAGAAAAATTGGAAAAAAAATGAATATTTGCGAATTCCTTACTCTCGCAAATAATGAAACTACTATTTGGTCCGTTCTTATGCCTTTATATCTCTATTCTCACACGTTTGAATATTATTTTGCAGAAATTCAAAATACGCATTGAGGATCCACCGCGACGCAAGGACATGGTCTTCATCGGCGGTGCTGTTTTGGCGGAGGTGACGAAGGATCGTGACGGTTTCTGGATGTCCAAGCAAGAGTACCAGGAGCAGGGTCTCAAAGTATTGCAAAAGCTGCAAAAGATCAGTCACTAGGAGAGGCGCGGCGACTGGTGTGAGAACGAAAAGTGAGGGAAGACCCTGAGAAATAGGATGATGAACAATTGTATAAATTTCTTTTGGCTAGTTTGTATAAGTTGAAAATTTTCATTTTTGCGTGATGTATCTGTCTATTATATGTGTGTGTTTTTCTTTTGTGTGCCTGCGTGCAGAATTGGTCTTTATTGTCTATAGATTGCCAAACATCGCAGACATGCCGTCGTCACTGCTCGATTCCCGTACAATGAATTGTAATATTTCTTTCGCCGCGAGCCGAAAAGAGTGTAACCTAAATTGTGTAGCCCTGCATTAGTGTGTTTAAATGATTATGATTACGCCTAAACCCCCATCTTGCTTTGATGAATATATATAATTTACCTACCTATTAATTTCCTGCACCTAGAGTATATTGATATTTTTGTAAACTCAAACTGTTTCATTTCGAGCGAGTATTTTTCACATTAAGTATTAACTAGGCCAAGTCTGCTAGTAGCAGCGATTATAAATCGTGTGTGTATGAGACAGAGACAGAGATAGTGACAGAGAAAGAGACAGGGCGAGAAAGTTGCACAGCACAGAGAGAGAGAGGGATAGATATCCTGCTTTCGCTAACTAAGAAAGACTCATTCGAATTTCAAAGTTCGAACCGAAAGCCTTTCCTCGTCAACCAAGAAAAGATAAATGCAATCGTAGCATTTCTGGGTTATCTCTTTTAACCAGACAAAGATAAACCAAGTCAGTCACAAGTTTATGCATTTATGTTGCCCAATAATCGAAAATATTACCAGCCGGAGTGTTTAATTTGATTTAATTTCCCAACCTGCCTTTTCTAGTTAGTTGCAATTTGATGATTGTTGGGGCAGTACTATCGGCATATGATCAATATATATTTATATAATGATATAATGAATGCGGAATGCCAATTATATAAGTAAATGCAATAAACATAATTATGATGTATGATGTATACTGTAGTCTAAAGCTGAATCGTATATGACTTGGTTTTTTTTTACCAACTAAAAACAAAACAAGAATCACAATAAAAACAAACTGAAATCCAATCTACGATGTTTTATGACTGGGCGGCTACCAAATTCCCACAGCAAATAAAACCATTTATGGTTAACGGGGTATTCTAACAATGGAAATGCGCTCATTGGCCTGCTTTGTAGTCGTAATCAGTAGCGCAGCACTCAATACAAATTGTTTAGAGCCCGTCTAAATAAAGTGCAATATAATGCAATACAGCGGGAGAACAACAAACAAAGAAAATCCAAAATAATAAAAGGTATAAACCTCTTGACGGAGCAGTAGGGAGCGGATCAATTGGCTGGCAGGTTTTTGAAAATCTACCATACATTACTTATAATATAAGTCTTATATGCTACATACCCATTATGATTTTTTTATGTTAAAGAATGTATTTTCATAATGTACTTATTTGTTTTAAATTATTTTGTTTTATATTTTGTTACACATTTCATATCTCAAATGTAAACACGAACAGCATTGCAGAGTTTTTATAAAGAAACCTTGAATTAGGATTTTTATTTTTTTATTTTAGTTATTTGTACTTACAAACTTTATTTATTTATATATACATAGGTATTATATTTTTTTTATATTCTGATAATTTAACTTGCAATTATTCTTTTACTATAATTTTATCTTTATATAGGTATATAAAACTCTTTGAAAAAATTATAGAGGTTGAAAGCAGAGCACAAACCACTAAAGCTACAACATTTATATTTTTACCAAATATTCTTACTACAGTTTAGGTTTAAGCTAAGAACTGATTTCTAGAAAAGTGACCACCAATCAGCTCCAAATATTTTGTTCCCATTGCAATAGCTAATAACTGATAAGTTCCAATTACTGCTCTATGGGCTAAATCAGAATTTCCCTTAAATACCTTTACATTTACAAACCCCACTGATTTACGGCCCATTATTATTCACACTCATTGATTGCTGAGTTACCTCCGAGTCGCACCTGTGAATTCGACTGGACTGATAAGGCGAATCCGGTCCGTCTGCTCGATGGCCAGATAAGGTCTCTTTGTGATCGACTGGGTTTTCAGAGTTCTCAGACCAGTTTGCTCGAACGACGCAGCATGGGCGATACGAAAAAGAACCGGGGACTGCAGATCCTGTCACTACTTCTGATCCTGCGACTCCGGGGAGCGAGCTCCGACCTCGCTGGCGATTGGCTGGTGGATTATGGCCAGCAGGAGCTGAAATTGCTGGAGGGCGAAAGTGAGCAGGTGCCACTGCATATATACAATGTGATACCCAAGGACTCCGAGCTGGATTACTATTTCTTGGTCTACTCGGGCGATGAGGGGCGCGCCTCCTCCCAGCTGAAGATACCAAAGGAGGATTTCGATCTGGTGGGCAGCTGGCGGGGATTGGTGGATGTGACGGGCCTGCGATTTGGCTACAGTTCGCTGGAGGTGGAACTTCACTCGGGTGCAGAGGTGGAACCCTATGCTAATCCCCTGCGCATTGCAGTGCTGAGATCTCGAGTGGTGGACGAAAGGGTGACCACCTATGTGTCCGCCGCTTTGGCTCTGCTGATGTTCCTCAATCTGGGGACGGTGCTGGATATGCAACGGCTGGCGGGGATTATCTGCCGACCCGTTGGGCCCGTGGTGGGCGTGGCCAGTCGGTTTGTGCTAATGCCCGCCCTGGGATTCGGACTGGGGCGTGGCCTCTGGCCGGATGCCTGGGCCATGCAGCTGGCTCTCTTCTACACCGCCCTGGCGCCCAGCGGCGGACTGGCCAACGTGTGCGCCGTGTTCCTCAAGGGCAACATCAATCTGTCGGTGGCCACCACCACGATCAATTGCCTGCTGGCCCTGGCCTTCCTGCCCCTCTGGATCCTGGTGCTGGGCAGGCTGCTCTACGAGGACGACGAGCTGGCCGTCCCGTTTGGCCAGCTCTCGGGCGGAGCGGCTGCCCTGGTGGCCTGCCTGGCCATTGGCGTCCTGCTGCGACTGTGCGTCCCTAGGACCACGCGCTTCATCTTCCGCTTCCTGAAGCCCCTGTCCGTCGTCCTCAGCCTGTGCCTCGTGGGGCTGACCGTGGGGCTCAACTGGTTCGTCTTCATGGAGTTTACCTGGCAGGTGAGCAAAAAGTTCCACTTTCATTTGTGTGCACTGATAAAAAACGTAGTTAATGCAAAGATGTTTCGGTATAATTTTCATTCACAAGGGTTTTGATTATTTTTAAATTAAAATTTAAAATCAAATCAAATTATTACAGTTATTACAATACATTTATGTACACTGATAAAAAATGATACTAAGGTTTTTCTTAGCTTTAAATATAAAAATTATTAAATCAATTTATTACAGTAAATTTGTAAATTTTAAACTTTGATTTTATGGTGAAATTCTTTTTTATTCATGTAAAACAGTTTAAATTAATATTACTAATAATTTTGACCTTCATTTAAATATTTTTAAATTAAATGCAATTTAATAAATGATGTATTAAATTTTAAGTTTATTTATTTCATTTAAATATGTAATTCGAATCTTTAAATTCAATATGCAGAGAGTTTTTCTTACTACGTTATTTTTTTCTGTGTAGGTATATAAGTATTTTGAATGGTAAAAAAGTTTTTTTTTCGTGGTTCAACGTTTAATATACAATTTTATTTTAATAACCATTAATTTAATTTTAATATGCATATATGGTAAAATAATACAAAGTATTATTTAATTATTATTATTATTTATTATACAAAATTGTATAATAAAATCGTTTTGTTTTTAAATTATTTTTTAATGTAGCTTGCAAAAATGTTTATTTTAAACTTTCGAAATAAATATCTTATTTCCTGCCCAGGTTCTGGTGGCCGCCGTGTGCCTGCCCCTGGCCGGCTACCTGGCCACCTACCTGCTGTCCAAGCTCCTCTGCCGCTCGGCCACCGATGCCCTGACCCTCTCGATCGAGGCCAGTGTGCTGAACATGACCATGCCCATTGTGCTGCTGCAATCTAGTCAGCTGGAGCAGCCACAGCTGGATCTCGTCCTGGTGGTGCCCATTGCCTCCTCGCTGCTTTCCCTGGTCCTGGTGATCCTTTTCTATGGGGTGCGTCGCTGTTTGGGCTGGAACAAGCGGCAGGATGCCGATGGCTTTGACCACAAGGAGCTGATTGCTGAGCACGAAGAGCACGAGGGTGATATCTACCAGCGACCTTAAGTCTCTAAGTTTCCAAGTTACAGGCTTTTAGTGTATACAGTAATCAATGTTTTTCTTAGACTTTGACATTTTTATAGAATATATAAATATTCGATATTTATTGTGAATTTGTAAGTGTAATTGTTAATACTTATACTTAGATACTAATTTAGTTTAAAAATTGATAAATATTATACAAAGTTTTAAAAGCGCGCCAATTTGCACTTCCGCTTTGCCACGATTGGCATCACTGTCGCTTGGCAATCGTTTTACTTGGCAGCACTGGCCTTTGGCGCGCGGGAAAATCGAATTCGCTCGCTTTAAATTTATATTTCGGCTGTGTGTGCGTTTGCATGCAAATTTGGTTTTAGGCCAGAGCAAGGCAATAAAATAAAATTGTGTGTCAACGTCGTTGTTGACCAACAACTGCGTATTATGTACTAGGAATGTGGAGCATTGGCCGCTGGACAAACAAGCTCGACAATTGGGAACCCAGGAACTCAGGCGCATGATGTCATCACTACAGTTCAGTTCAGTTTAGTTCGGTGCGATGCAGGGCTGCCAATTACGACACACGAACAGGGCATATAATACACATAGTACCCATATATATATGTACATATTTATATATAAATCGTGTATACACGTGTTTGTGTAGGGAAGAAGATATAAAAATAAGTGCTACCTTTGCCTGCACACGTGTTGGTGTGCGTGGTCAACTAACGGTTCACGCGCGGAACGCATTACCAAGCCCCATCGCACTGAGCCACCCGAAACCACCCAACCCACCCAACCCACCGATCCCGCCCCGAATCGCCGACCCGCCGACCTCGTTAGCCAGCCCTGACAATGTCTTTTCGGTTATAAATACATTTTTCAAAAGGCGCTAAATGACATAACGTGAACCATACTTTAGGAGGAAGTCAACTATCCGTCACTGGGTTGAAAAATTATGCTTTATCCGTTAGATAGCCATCAAATATTATTATCAGTATTAGTATCAAATTTATCAGGTTGTCTGCTATTTTTTTCATAAACAAGAAAGGAAGCTAGCTTCGGCAAGCCGAAGCTTATATACCCTTGCAGATCATTCTATTAATTTACAAATCGCAAAAATGTTAAATTTCTTATTATTTAACATTAATTTTTCGATCGTTTTTATCACAGCTATATGATATAGTAGTTCGATCTTTTAAAAATTAAAATCGAAATTCGGAAAAATTTCAAAATAGTCATATCCCAGAGTAGAAGGAACTGTAATAAAAACCAACAAAGATATAATTTTTTTCCCATTAATTTCCATTTAATTTTTCGACCGTTCCTATGGCAGCTATATGATATAGTGATCCGATTTAAAAAACAAAAAAATCGAAATTCAGAAATATATACAAAAAAATGTTCCCAAGAGTAGAAGGTAAAATTTTAAAAAACACCGGAGCTAGAATTTTTTTACGTTTTTTTTTTTTGATCCTTCCTATGGGAGCTATAAGATATAGTTGTCCGATCCGTTTGGTTCCGACATATATACTACCTGCAATAGAAATACGACTTTTACGAAAGTTTCATCCCGATAGCTTTAAAACTGAGAGACTAGTTTGCGTAGAAACGGACGGACAGACGGACGGACAGACGGACAGACGGACGGACAGACGGACGGACAGACGGACATGGCTAGATCGACTCGTCTAGTGATGCTGATCAAGAATATATATACTTTATGGGGTCGGAAACGTCTCCTTCACTGCGTTGCAAACTTCTGACTGAAATCATAATACCCTCTGCAAGGGTATAAAAATGAATATGATACTATAAAAATAAAGGGAAAATTCCAAATCGATTGTCATTTAAATCTTTTAGACAAATAAATCGAAAATTGGGGAAAAAAAAGGATTGGCATTCAAACCTAGAAATTTTTAATTTTTATCATTTTCATTTTTATGTTTTTCTATATATGAAGGGAATTTATATATTAAATTGTTAGCTGTAAAAAATATAAAAATAAAGAGAAAATTCCAAATTGATTGTCATTTAAATCTTTTAGACAAATAAATCGAAAATTGGCAAAAAAAATGGATTGGCATTCAAACCTAGAAATGTTTAATTTTTATCATTTTCATTTTTAGGTTTTTCTATATATGAAGGGAATTTATATATTAAATTGTTAGCTGTTTAAATCTGTACGTATCTTCGATTTGAGACATTTTTTGACCAAGTTACAGCAAAAAAGACTAAGATGAATTCCTATTTTACCCAAATACTCAGGTCCTCAATTTTCACCCAAAAAATCTGTATTTAATCTGTATTTCATTTTTAATTCGCCATAGTCAGTTCTTAAATGTCCCCTGATCACTTATTGTGTGCTATTTATGCTGGTACTCTCCAAAAACGGTTTCGTTTCAATGCCCTCTAGCTATTTGAACCTTGATTGGATTCGCCCGTTGTTTGCTGGTTTTGATTACCGCCCAAAAGTGGCGAACCGAACTCAAAACACACCGCATACGTACACCCTTCCTTTTGGCCAACCCGCGATTGCCTCTCTCTGGAGGGCCATTCAAAAATGTGTTCCTTTTTTGAGCCACACTTAGCAGCGATTCCAGGAACTTTCGAGATTTCATTAGCCTGCTCCTCGGTTGGGCCATGTTTATGTATGATGGCTTGGAATGGGGACTAGGATCCCTAGTCCTATCCCTATCCCTATATCCCTGTCCATACCCCTATACCAGTCCATCCACGAGCTGCATAATATGCGATTCCATTGACCGTTTTGGCCTGCTGCTGCGCATTGCAGTTAACCCCGAAAGGAACAATGCAGCAAGCACACTGAAAATATTCAGATTTAATCGGTTAATGAGTGGCCACATATTTATTTCTATCTAAAAAAATCTAAAAAGGCAAAGTAAAATTTAAAATCTTTTGTAAAGTAATTGATTTAATATTAAATAATAAGATTACTATTGAAATTTAATTTGGAATTGATGTACTGTTTTAATATTATTTTAGTATTATGATTTGTAATATTATCTAATATCTTAAAGGCAATTACAAACTTAAAAATTCGTAGAATTTATCTATTTTTCAAGCTGTTTTTTTTGAATACCTTCTTTTTTTCTCAGTGCAATCATAGTGCTCCATTTTTGGGCCGTGCCAAGACAACTTTGAAAAGGAGTTGCAGCAGTTTTTCGATGAGGCAATTTCATTCTCAGCTGGGCTTTTGCCCCAATGCCAGTTCAACTGCACTTGAGTGAAAGGGGTGGTGTGGCTGGAAGGTGGGGTGGTGAGAGTGGGCAAAAGGGGGAGGGTAAATGGTGGCAGGCGTTGGCAGGGGCCACAAGTCAAAGCAAAGCATTTGGTTTCGTTTCGTGACATTTGGATGATTTCTGCCTATTTCCTGGCCAAAACACAAACCCCCCCCCTTAACCCTGCCCTAACCCCCACCCCTTTCTTAACCCTCTGGCCGACTTTAATCGCGTGCTTGGCGCACATTTTAACGCTCGTCGTTTTCAGTTGACGGTTGCCACAGCAACACAACACGAACTGCAAATGCAATGCAAAAGAGCAGTGGGCAAATTTCAGGGGGTGGTGAATGTGAAAGTGCGGGAGGCGGTGGGGTGGGTCAAAGGGTGGCATCTAACCTATTTGCAACCGAGGAAGGTGCGTTGGCAAATCGCTTCTCGCTGCTCTTCATTTCCTGTCTCCATTTCAAGGCGCACAAAAAAAGGAAAACAGGAGGAGGAGGAAAATCTGCCAGGAAATTCACTTGCACGCCAGTCGCTCAGAGACACGAGGGGAAAAAAACAGAAAACAGAAAACAAAAATTGCCAAATAAAAACGGCGAGCGAAAAATTCAAGTCAATTATCCCCAGCACGTGTACTTAGATATTATGCGTAATTATGGCGCTCGAGATGGCGATGGCATAATTAGCCCTGTTACTTGTGTATTCGCTTATTATGGGCTCACGTTGCTCTTGCTGACGACAGTCCTCAAATTGGCAAGGCACATTGGGAAGCAAAGCTCCCAATACCCCTTGAATAACCAGGTGATCCCTGGAAATATTTATTAAATAAACGAAAGAAAGTCATTATATATTGTATCTTTTAGTTTCAAAGTTATCTGTTTAGAAAGTGCTCTTTAAACTAAGTTTTACTTATGTACTTCCGCAGATTAATAATGAAATATTAATAAAGGTATTTTCCGAAACTCTAAACTAGCTAAGCTTAGGATGCTCTAAGGTGTGTTAAACAAATAATATATTAAACATAATAATAATAAATTCAAATATAATTAAAAATCAATATAATAAATATAAAGGAAACTGGTGGAAAAATATCTTATACTAAGGCTTTAAAATACATAACTTAAAAATACAGTGACCATAGTAATACTAATTATTTTCAATATCTATAGGAAATTAAGGAAAATATGCAATTGAAAAGTACAATAAATGGTGTAAATAATAAATTATCTTTGTATTTTGATCTTTACAGTACAGGGTATTATCAGAACAGTGAGAAGTTGTTGGAAAAATGGTAGGATGCTAAACATGCGCGTCTCATGAGCCAAAATTTATGCAAATTCGCTTGTTCCCATGCCCCGTTTTTCGTCCTTCGTCCTTCGGTTGCCCCTCAGTCCTTCCTAGTCCTGCCATCCGCCATCCGCCAGCCACTGGCAAGTGCAAAGGAAACGCACAGTTGAATAATGTAAGGTTATGCTAATGTGCAGGACTTGGCGGGGGTCCTGAGCACAGGTACATACGCACAGGTGTACATTACACATTCGCTGCATTTGCTTTGGCATTTATGGGGGTCACCTGTCCACCCCCCAAAACCCCCTTTCCCCCGCTCCCATCGCCCATTGCCACACCCTCATCCTCGTGGAAATGGAAAGTGCAAGTGGAAAGTGTTTGCCATAACCGAGAGCGATTAAATTAAATATTCAATTTCCTTTGCCCAGCCGGATATATTTGAGATCGGCCAGCAGGGAAGACCGGCAAAATACAGCCAGTTGTCCTTCCTTACTGACAGGAAGGAATGACAGAAATCCGCTGATAAAATATATCACGTATTTTGAATAATTTAATAGTGTAATAAACTGCTTTAAATTTTAGACAACAATGCCACAAATTAAGCAATAGATTTGGTTTAAAATTTAAAAATTAAAAGCTTTGCAAAAGTTTTTAAGTAAAGGCGCTTTAATGGAAAATTTTAATCTAAGCG